AAATATCCCAGTCTACAATTAAACAGAAGTCATTATAGGAAAATTGTGTTGTTCCGTGGTCTGAACCCCATGAGACTAGGTAAAAAAGCAAATCATTAAGATTTTGGTTAGAGCAAACCTTGCATACACGGAGTGACTGGGTACACACCCAGGAACACAACTAGCACCTTGTTAATAAACAGCAATTTGCTACAAAGACTTACATGATTTCCTTTACACACATGTAAACCAAGAACGGGATGGTGGTCATTGTAAACTTAGAAATCATTCTGGTTTTTTTTTTTTCTCAAATAGGAACATTTGCACTTCACATACCATGCATGACCAGCCTTTGACCAGTTTTCTATCTCATGAAAACAAACTTCTAATGGTCCTCAAGTGATAGCAGAAGTATCCAGCAATGTGAGCCCGCCAAATCTTTGTGGAGACATTTATGCTAAGAGACTAATTTTCCCTTATAATCTACATTTTGACAATACTGTAGATCCTCAAAGGAAGATTGTAGGGGCCTTAGCAATAGAGTTGTTTGCACTTCTGGAAAGACATGTGACATTCTTGGATCATGTTTATTTCTAAACTCTGAATCTGTGTATGTTTGCTAGGAAACCTCCATCTGATAGTCATGTAGGAGCCTAGCTGTGTTTTATAGACTCCTGACAGGACACTAGTATTTTAGGACAAAGAGGCAGATGCTTACATAAAGCTAAAACAAACTACGTACTGTACATCTTACTCCTTGGAACCAGTATTTCTTGCAAAGTTTTAAGCATCCTGTTAACTGGATGCCTGATATTTTCTGATCTTTTCTGTTTGGTGAAAATCTTCACTTTAGCTTTGATTCCCCTTAATATATGTGGTATCCATACACTCTTGCGTTTACCGCAGTTGCATTAAACTTTGCTAAATCTTCTGAGCAGGATTTGTAAAAGTTTTTGGAAACTTAGAGTTGGACTTTTTTTTAGTGTCCTGAATCAGTTGAAATCTAATTTAACATGTTTTAACATGTTTTAACACTCCAAGTAAAGGGACGTGGTGGCGCTGTGGGCTAAACCGCAGAAGCCTGTGCTGCAGGGTCAGAAGACCAGCAGTTGTAAGTTCGAATCCACGTGACGGAATGAGCACCCGTCGCCTGTCCCAGCTCCCGCCAACCTAGTGATATCTCATGTTGATCTCCCATGCTGTATAAGCGCTTTGGCGTAAATTAAGTTGCTTGTCCCAACAAGAATAGATCCATAGAGTCAATTGCTGTATGGTATTTCAAATCCCATTGACTTAGTGGCCTACTCTGTCTGTGGCTAGCAATTGGATTTAGGCTACCAGAAGAGCTCTATACAGCCAGCAGGAGTGAAATACTTGATTTGGAGCAGGGAGGCAGGATATAAATAAATAAATAAATAAATAAATAAATAAATAAATAAATAAATAAATAAATAAATAAATAAATAAATTTAAGTCACTGCAAGGTGATAAAATATGTTAAAAATGAAATCAAATTTTTTAAATTTTAAATTGGATTTTTAGACTTTTCTTTAAAAATCATTGATTTTTATCCATCCTGCAGTGACTTAAATTGTGATTTGATTTAATTCAAATCCACCCTGTTCTTCTACTAAAAGAACATTTTACAGCATAGACTTGTGCCTGTCTGGATAGAAATAAGTTCTGCTGTGTTCAACAGAATTGCTCTTTTCAGTATATTTTAATATCAGAACTATTTTTACAGAAATATTAGTAAAATTGTATAAAAAATCAAAGAGAAAAAAATTCTCTTACCCTGTACTCTCCAGAAAAAAATCAGGACATTGGAAAAGCATGCCAATATTAGCATACTCATGCAGTGCGTATTACCGGTATCAGTATTTTCTCTGTATAATTACCTGATAAAACTTAATTACAGATTTGAAACTGCCAAATTGGGGATGTGTCCATTTATTATGTTACTAATTTGTTTTAGGAAAGCATGCATTTTTGAGTTAGAATATTTTCCATGGGAAAATATGTAGCAATGGAATTTAAAGTTGGGAGGGAATTTGCATTACACTACTGCTTCTGAATGACTGTAATATCCTTAAAAAGATGACATTTTCCGGTGCTTACATGTTTATGAGCATTTAAAAAATGTTGATAAAGCCTTTTACTCTATCCTGAAATAACTCATAGCTGACCTTTAGAGTATGCAATAGTATTTTTTTTTCTATTGAAGATTCAAATAATGTTCTGTTTTTCACTAACAATTTGATTTTCAATAAGAATTCAGAAGGGCAGATCTCATTCACATCTCCTGGGTATCCTTCTCCTTTCCAAATCTTTGGACCATTATCTCGTTTCACTTAAGTTTACTTGGAAAAAAAAATATTCTTGGCGCTATTCATGACGTTGTTAGAATTTTACCCCCATTCCTCTTTTCATAAAGCTTATGACTGTGTACAAAGCCCAGATCACAAAAGCAACTTCAAGCATTCTAAAAGACTTTGGTGGGCCTAATGGGATTTTGGACCAGCCTGATATTAGCAATATGACCTGCAGTATATTTTTCAACTTTGCTTGCTGAATCCCTAAGAATAGGTACTTTATTTATGTAAATGTGCAATCATACACAAATGTTGCTGCACTAAAAACAGGGACTTTTATTGGTGGCATTTCTCTGGAGGAATGGAAGGTTCAGTGAAACCAGGAGAAGGAATGATTCCACCACTGTTCCCCCAGTCTTATGTGTATCCAAAAACTATCTAGCTACCCTTTTTTTTTTGGTAGAAAATGTTTGTGTGCAACCTTAAAATTACTTAGATTCCTAGTTAACAACATTTTCTGATATGCACTTTTGAAATGGTATTTGATTGACTTATTTAAACCTGTCTCTTATTTTACCTCTAAATTCTCATTTAACAGTTTTATCTTCAGCTGTCCAGTAATAAGTCGTCTGACTCAGAATATTCTTTGGCATTATATAATATGGCAGGCATAAATAACAATAACTGTATTTTCCTCAACCGAATAAGCCAGATTTAGTGTGCATCATGGAAAGGTTAACACCAAGTCCTTAGCCATTGTAATATTATTTGACAACCCATCAAAGGTACCTTTGACATGATGTATTTCTTGCAATAGAGATACTGGCGGTATCAACCAGATTCCTCTTCAATGGTATATGCCTGTTTTCTCAGTGTGTTTGAATATAGCTTCAATAAATCCAGAGTCTTTCGTACAAATGCATAAGTTGCAGATTAAATAAAAATGAAATGTCAGAGCAAATGATTCCAGCACTTTGCTTGCGTCTGGCATTGTGTGGGAGGGCAAGTTTCTTAATGATTTCCTGTCGTCATTTCTAGAAGGTTAAAACCTTGATCCTTTTACATGCACACCTTTCCTTTTTCAGAGTTGACACCAGATCATTGAGGCTACCAGTTTTAGTGTTGTGATGTTACTCTATGGAGGAAAATGCAGCTTGTTTGTCTGTAACCATGGTCAAAATCCTGTTTTGCAGCTGTGCAGTAGCTGTAAATTACTGTAAGTTTAAGAACTCTCTGTGTTATCTGCTGTGTATCAAGTTGCACCACTCCGTGTGCAACAGATAATGCCTATGGAGATTTCTTAACTTTCAGCAGTTTGCCACTAGAAATTATGCCTTCATTCTAACTATACAACAGGATTTCAGCTTTTATAGAAGAGTTTGGGGGGAGGTGTTCCTGGAAGTATAGGAATGCTTTGGTCCAGTACATAAGTCTGAGAGCATGTCTCTTGTTTGAAATTCTCATTCATTTCCACAGACCAACATGAATTATTGTTAGGTTAGGTAGAATGGATGAACCATCTTCTCTGGTGTGTTGCAGAGTGAGGTAGAAACAGAATACCAGATTTCAAATTGATGATATTTGATGGACTCTAGCATTAATGAGGAAAATGTTCTAAGTAAGGAAGATCCATTGAATTTGAAGCCTACCTAGTTTTATTGATGGGCTTATCTATTGATAAAGCATACTATGCTAATTGTTATGACAATGTTTAATCTGTGTGATCTTTCTGCTTATCACAATACAGTTGGAACTACAACTGGGTTTACCTTTTGTTGTCTAAAAGGGTCTACTTTGGCCAAGACAAAGCGGCACACCCACACATCTCTTAACTGAACACCACAACTCAGAAGGGCTTACATCCGGACAGAGAAGCATATGGCTGCACTGAATATATTATGGTGCAAAGAAGAGCCAAAGGATAGGAAGGGCAAAAGGGGATACAAGTAGCTGAGATGAGACACTAATAGAAGCGGAAGTACCATTTTCTTCTCAGACGTGAAACACTTTCCAGAAGGGTGGGTATGGTGAGTCTACATTCTGCTGCTGCACGAACTGTCTTGTCCAAACCTTAAAGACTAATGAGTTTGTCTGGCAAAAGATTTCATAGACTGCAGCCCGTTGCTTCAAGTAGGCTGCAATCTATGAACGTTTGTGTCATCCATGTTAATTTTTAAAGGGCCACAAAACGCTCCTTCATTTTAGATGAAGCAATTTTTATACACCCGAAGCGCAGAAGGTGATTTGCAGACTACAAGTGAGAACAGCAATTTTAGCCCT